GAGGTCTTTCTTGCAACTATTTTGATAAACGATTAATTGTTTTTTGTGTAGTTTCAGCTTCTCGGTTTGTCTTATGTGATGTTAAACTAAATATTGTTTAGTTTCGGACTGTTGGTTTTGACGAAATTAGCAGTAGTGATGAATGCTCATTAATAGTCCCAGAGCCCAAAGTAAACTCTTCAATTAGAGAAAAAGAAGCAAATCTTTTTTTCTTGAAAAATTATCAAAATTGTTGGCAAATCTTATTTAATAGAGAAATCAACTTATCTCTACTGTCAATGCCAGAATGCTGTTGGCTTCATGTTTTGGAAGCCAGCCTATTTGGGGGTCAAAGTTTAATTTAAGTTAACTTTGACCCCCCTCACTGACAACATTAAAATAATGTCCTGTGTTTTTGTCCCATGCTACAAAGAAGGTGCCTTTGAGGTTTTTGGACATTAAACAGTAATACAGTGATTGAGATAGTTAAACACAGCCTTTCATTTTCTTACTTGGCACAATACCAACTAGGTTAGAAACTTCACATTTGGGCCACACTGCTTACCTGAGCAGCATGTTTGCCTCGCAGAACCTTTTGCCTGTCATTTTGGTGCCCATGTTGACAGGTTAGGGAAGCGACACGTCATCTAGAGATTCTGCATCTCGCTTATTTTTTCCACGTTATGCAAAACAGACAGTGAAAATGATCTGTTGACAGTCAAATCAACATCACACCAGCAGCATTACACATTTCACTACAGTTTTAATGTCTATATCTGTAGAACATGTCACAGACACAGATAGACAACAAATATTAAAATGTTCTGTATCCATTTCAGATTAAAAGCCCTCTAGTGTTTCTGTGGACAGAATTCCTTCATTTGTTGAAAAGGCTTTTATTGTATTGTATTTATCAAAGGTAAACTCATTATGGCAGTGCAGCAATGCTGTGGACACCACATGCGCACCACATCCCCACAGTGGGGCCCAAACATAAGAGCACATGTGTGAGTTTCAGGATATTCACAATAAACGACTACTGTAAAATGTCATGGACAAGACAATGAGAGAAAAGTGTAGATTCTGTGTTTTTGTTTTGTAGAGGATTTCGAAGGGGATCGCAAGCTCAGTGAGCAGTAAAGCTCTGGATTTTGACCATAGATAGCGAGAGGCTTTGATAGTGAGAGCCATTGTTGGACAGATCCCATCTGATTGTATGAGGATAAGCTGCTAGGGGGATGCGGTCAGAGTAAAACTCTTTTAGGCACTGTCATTTTTCCAGAAAGGGGGTATCCATCATTCCTTTGATGATGGAGTTTTAATTATTAGATGATGGGGAGAAATGGGCCGTGGAGCGATAAGTGATCCAATAGAAAAGTTGTCTTGGGGCATTAGCCCTTCAGATATACAACTGTGTGTGTGTGTGTGTGTGTGTGTGTGTGTGTGTGTGTGTGTGTGTGTGTGCATTCTCAATAAGATCAGTTATCCCTTCCTTTAAGAAGTTCTCTGTGTATAAAAGATAGTGTGCTGATACATGTATACTCATTCACTATTACTTAAATGATAAACCACCACTTGCTTATTCAACAGTTGTGTGGCTGACTGTAATGTCCAGTCATATTCATGCAGGTGGTGTACAGCATGGCCATTTAAACCGGTCACATTTTACTCTGCTCATTAAGCTCATGCTAACATATTTTGCAGTCACAGCTCCCTCCCCCACTGCAAATGTATCTGTATAACCATTTGCTGTAAATGGTAAATCCCTTGATACACGTGTATCTGACTGAACTAGTGTGCATGCAGGAAACACAGCATTTTTTGTTCCATTGTTAGGTTATTAGTTAGTTCAGGTTTATTAAATCTTGTTGAGAAAAAGATCACTATTGCAATAGAGATATAAGAAGACTAGTCAGCCAGGCAAAACAGTCAAGTTTATTCATATAGCCCAAATAGCAAAAATCACAAATTTGCCTTAACGGGCTTTACAACAAAATGTGTTAATTTAACCTCAGTTGTCTTTTGTAGTTCATTCCAGTAGCATAGTTCCAGAAACCACTTTTCCCCAGATTTGGTATGAGGAACATTTAAAACTAACCTGTCCTGTGATCTGATGGAACAGTTGTTCACTTTGAACTAAGGATGTTAAATATCTGGGCGCTATGTAGAGCACACAACAAACATTTATTTTCATTATGGATTCTTCTGTAAATTACTCTCAGTTACAATCCATTAATTGATTCATCATTTAGTCTTTGAGATATCACGACCAGAAGTCCAAATCCCCCAAAATTCAGTTTGCGATGATTAAAAAGAGAGCTGTACTGTACTGTTTCGGCACTACATAAACTTTATGTACATTTTATCTAGTGCTTTGAACTAGGACAATGGCACAAAATGAAAACTAGCATACAGTGAGTGGTTTCAGTGTTCTGTTTTTATATATACATAATATGTGCACACTGTGCATTTCCCTCCTTTCACTTGTTCCTCTGTGTTCATAGATGTTTTGCTCATCTGCCCTGTACAACAATCCTGATATTATTCGTCTTGCATTGTATCATAGAGGAATATCATCCTCACATGGTCTGAAGAGAGTAAAAATTATTTAAAACAAACAACAAAGTAATCCACGTGTTCTGAAAACCGTCTGCAGGGTGCTCTAGCCTCCCTTTTAACTGCTGTGTATATTTTAACCTGCAGATCAAAGTGAGCTTAACTTTAAGTGCAACAGAAGCTTTTACATTTTACAGCCAGAGACATAAGTGTGTCTCTTTCTTCCCTCTCTCCCTCTGCGGGTTCCCATTTCAGGTCTGGCTGCCCCGTCTTTGTCTGTCTGAGCCCATCTCTCTCTCTCTCCTTGTCACTATTCGCTCTCGCCCCATCTATCTGTGTCTCTCTCCATCTTCTCATCTCCACCATCATTCTCTTGCTTTCCATCTCTTTGTATTAACATCTCCCCGCCTGCTTTGTTCTTTCTTTTTTTTTGCTCTTTTCGTGCTCCAAATCCTCACGCACAGCCCCTTTTTCTCAGACTCCCCGACTGAGTGGCCCTATTGCTCTGTCAATGTAGAACAGAGTGCTGGCTGTTAGTGGTGCCCCGACGTCATGGCACATGGCTGCAGCATCCTGGCTATAAATAACTTGGTCTCGCGGTGCTCAGTCCAAGACAGAACCGAGAGCCAGAGGGAGAGCAATCTGCTGTCTCCCTCAAGAGTTGCTCAAAGGGGAAGGCGCAAATAAGGCCGCTTACTCTTTCGCCACAGAGACCTTCATTGTATGTGAATAAAGTAGTTCTGAATTTAATGATTTTTCTCGACAAGAGCAAAAATTCTGGTCAGGAAGTGGTTCATTTACTCAAAGCCATGGTACGTAACAGGAGTGGAATCAACTGTATTGATTGTCACTGTCACTGTCACAGCACTGCTTTAACACTATGTGAACAAACTATGTTACTTCTGGTATATACACATGTATGTTTACAATCTCTCATTGTCTCTCTGATTAAAAACAACACTTGCAATCAGTGCTAAATCAGTTGGTAAACTGATAATCAATTCATCTGGTAAAACAATCCCAAGCATTTACAGTTGGGTTTCCTCTGCTCGTCGGACAAATTGTGATATTTAATGGGAATTTGTCACTTTTCTTCTTACATTTTATAAACTGAACGATTAATGTATTAATTGAAAAGAACAAGTAACGATAATAAAAAAGAATCTTAACTTGAAAGATTTGACAATAACATATACTACAGACATGAAGGTGAACAGACAATCCTGCCCAATTACATTTTTTGTAGCTTCCATGTCACCCATAAAAGTATAGTTGTAGCCTCTCTTTGGTATTTACATTCCCGAGGGTACAAACTAGTGACGGCAGGACCGTCTACGTCCCCACAGAGCCGCCGCAGGATGTAGAAGCACAATGAAGCTGTCGTTATTCAAGCAGCAGAACAGACAAAGATATTTGTTACCTCAGTCATGTGTATTACAATAAGCACCTGCAATTCTAACCAGTTCTAAGCAAAACAAATACTTGTTAAAATGTCTGAAACTTTCAAAATCTATTAATCCTAACTCATGAAGGTAGAACTGCTTGTGACAGTTAGTCAAGTCTTCCTGTGGCTACATCTCAATAAAAAAATAAAAGGCAGAACAAACGCCTAGGTGAGTTTTTTGGAAAGAAGAGAGAAATCAGAAGTGTTCTTTTATCATTTTGCTGCACATGGTATGAGTGGAACAGTCACTGCAAAAATGGATCAACCAGCATCTGATGTTGTTTGTAATCCATTTTGAAACCTCTTCTGTAAATCAATGAGCTTGTCAATGATCTTGCAGAGGGTCCGGTCAATAAATCTCCCCAAGAGTTGGATGCTGCCCTTCCAATGTAGTTTACTTTGAAGATTTGTATGTGTAGGAGATTTGCCTCGTGCCCTTAGTCTGTGAACTTGTGGACAGATGCTTCTCGATGGAGTCATGATGCCTACAGCAAGCTGTCACCTAAATAACATCACATTGTTTCTACTGTTGTGTGTGTTTTGAGGGTAAAAAGCTGCCAAGTGTTTGAACATTTCTTATTCGTTGTCTGTGTTAGCTTTCAAACTCGTGATGTCATAGTTTGTCAGTGTACCGAAAAACTGATTTAGATGTTCCAGTTTGCGTTTCTCCGGTGGCCATATGGAATATATAGCACGGCACATATTGTGAAGGCACACTCCATTAGTTATGGTTGTGTTTCTCTGCATTTCTGACTGTGGGCACTTTATGCAGTCGACAAGCCTCCCCTTGTCTCCTGGCAGACGCCCTGTTTGAGCTTTCTGTTTTTTGGTTTTTCTTTACTTGAATAATACATTGATGAATGCATAAAAGCCGGTCTGTTTTTGAACGTTGTAGTTAGTGCACAAAAGGGTTATTTTGACACGAAGAAGCTCATGTCTGGCTTGTGCTTTATTCTCTCAACTGGCGTCTTTGTTCTTTATTTCAGTCCAGTCTAAAAGTTTGTGTATCTGTTCCTTCCAGGTGACAGCAACCCCAAGGAGAGCAGCCCCTTCATCAACAGCAGCGATGCAGCCGCAGAGAAGAGCCAGCAGTATGACGGCAAGAACATGGCCTTGTTTGAGGTACGGCCCAATATTCTGCACACGCACACATAGGCACGCACTGATTGGTTAGCACACACAAGCAGGCATGATTGTAAGAAGCAGGATACACTCATTCTCACAATTCAGTGATTGAATAGGGGCACTGACATCGATTAATGAGGGTAATTACTGTGTGAAGGGCATGTGGGAACTTCAGGTTAATGCAAGCAAATCTCACACTGCTACAGGAAAGAACTTCAACGAGGCAATTTGCCACAGCTTTGCACAACTGTATTTATATTGTGCTCTCAGTAAAATTTGCAGATTAAACAAGATCAGAAAAATCAGAAAATGTACAATTTACTTTGTGAGCACGTTATATGTTTTCTAGTTGGGTGAGAATTTGCAAGCAACTGAAATAGCAACTTATCTACAGTGATCTGAGGCAACACTCATCAACTACAGCACAATATTAATGTTACTGTACTATGTGGGTTTAGCTCACAGTCTCACACATCTCTATACTTCCCTTTAAAACGCTGATAAAACACTGACTCCAGCCTTCCTGTTTGTGTTTGTGTCTCTGCAGGAGGAGATGGACACCAGCCCCATGGTGTCGTCTCTTCTCAGCAGCCTGGCCAACTACTCCAACCTGCCCCAAGGTAGTAAGGAGCACGAGGAGGCCGAGAACAACGAGGCTGAGTCATCGCGCAAGAAACCCGTCAAGGTATGTAATGTAATCTGTGTATAAATGTATACATATGGTGCGGTGCAGACAACAGTACATTCATGTATGTACTGTAAACAGGCATATTCTATATGGCGGAGATAACATAGTTTGACTCAGGATATTATGTTGTGGTACATCAATCATACGGATGACTTCCGGGTGAACGCTGGCGCTATTAGCTGCCGCTGCTCAGGGAGGGAATTTTAAACCTTTTAGTACTTCTAAAGCTTCCTGCACTTATGAATGCATGGATGCATCTATGAACTGTTTTAAACTATTTTAAGGAGCCAATCCGACCTGTGTATCCACGCTGATTAAGCGGGTTTATACGCTGGTTTTGGTACGTGTTGATGCTTTCTGCGGTTGCCGGTTTGCCTGCCAGTTACTGACTGTTCTTCGTGGTACCTCTGGCCCTTGGATCAACTATGAAGATCACTGAGCTACTGGTGCAGATGAACTACATCTGGGTCGTCCTTTCTGCTATATACCATTCTGTGGTATGGTCGATGCTCCAGTATTCGGCGGCGGGAACTTACTCAGCTCCGTTTGCGGCCTTTTAATCTTCCGTCAGCTCCATATCTTCCCTCGGATATTGTGTACATACCACGTCGGAAATATATACATCTCGGGTCTTGGCGGAGTTATAACATTGATGGCTCATGTCAAATACGGACCTTTTGGTCATCTAAACCACGCTCACTGAAGAGGCTCTCACGGACTGTCGATCACAGTGTATTAACCAACCTGGCCAGATCGGTTGGCAACGATTCTGGTAAAAACAATTTTTCCTTTGGATTATTTAATATACGATCTCTCTCTAATAAAGGACCTATGGTGTACGATCTACTGTCTGACCGTAAGTTTGACTTTCTCTGTCTAACTGAGACATGGCAGAAACCAGACGACTTTTTTCATCTAAACCAGTCTGTTCCCCCAGGATATAGTTATGTTTGTAAATCCCGTGATACGGGACGGGGAGGGGGGCTAGCAATACTTTATAAGTATCTCAGCTAACTTTGTCTACATATTCTTCTTTTGAAACAACTGCCTTAAAAATCAATGGTGCAATTCCTACCATCCTCACAACTATTTACCGTCCTCCCAAGAGCAATAATGCCTTCTTAACTGAACTATCTGAACTTTTGACTTATCTATCTTCCATGTCTCCAAATGTAATCATTCTGGGTGATTTTAACATTCATATAGACAATGTCAGTAATGCATTTACATGTGAATTTTTATCATGTTTGGATTGCTTTGGTATGCAACAATTTAACACATTGCCCACTCATACTAAGGGGCATACTCTTGATCTTGTTTGCTGTTCTGGTATAACACCTTATAATTGTACTGTTTCTGATCTGTCCATATCAGATCGATCACATTTCAGAATATTACGAACATTGATGTGCCTACTCTTGCTGATGAACTTGCCATCTTCTCCAATAAAATAGATTTATCTACGATGAACTAGTTACATACTACAATGATGGACTGAACATGATTTTAGATGAATTTGCACCTGTGAAAACTCGAAAGGCCGTAGGTTAGAGCGGTTATATATCAGGTCTGGCCTTACTGTTCATAAAGAAATATATGCTGAACATATTCGAAATGATAAAAATGCACTGTCCAAGGCTAAATCTGATTACTACTCCAACATAATTGGAGTTAGTAATGGGAACTCCAGGTCCCTTTTCTTGGTGGTAAACAATATTCTGCAATCACCTGATTCTCTGCCATCTGATATGTATTCCACTGACTTATGTGATCGTTTTTTGACTTTTTTTGCATCTAAGGTTGAAAATGTACATCAGCAATTAGGCCTACTTACTGGTACTCTTCACAATGACTCCTGTCAATCTATCACTTACACACCTCCCAACTCTGTTTTCTTTAACTTTACACTACCAACTACTTCAGAGATAGTGGGTCTGATAGGTAAATCTAAATCTTCGACTTGTCAGTTAGACCCTCTACCTACTCCTTTAGTGAAAGCTTGTTTACCAGCCCTGTCACCATTGATTACTAAAATTGTTCATGCTTCACTTGTTTCTGGTTCTGTATCTTCATCTCTTAAATCTGCTATTATTACTCCCATTCTTAAGAAACCAGGGGGTGATCCATTTAATTTTGATAATTTTCATCCAATTTCAAATTTACCATTTATCTCTAAGGTAGTGGAAAAGTGTATTGCAGTTCAAATTCATGAACATCTTTTTAATAATAATTTGTATGAACAATTTCAATCTGGATTTCGTCCTCAGCACTGAGACTGCTCTTGTCAGAATAACCAATGATCTACTGTTGGCAGCTGACTCTGGGCTTTTTTCCATACTTGTCCTTCTAGACTTGAGAGCTGCTTTGATAATGTCTCACATAAGATACTTCTTGACAGATTAGCTTCTATTGGTATTACTGGCACTGTTCTGTTTTGGTTTAGGTCATATCTATCTGGACGCAGTCAGCGTATCCAATTAAAAGGTTTTCGATCAAGAACATCTATAGTCACTACTGGTGTTCCCCTGTCTTGGGCCCGCTTCTTTTCATTATTTACATGCTCCCTCTTGGTTATATTTTGAGGAAATATGGGATTCATTTCCACTGTTATGCGGATGACACCCAACTCTACTTGTCTGCCAAACCCACTGATTCTTTCCCACCACCATCTTTGTCCAGCTGTTTAGCTGAAATTAAAGATTGGCTTTCCACTAACTTCTTGAAGGTAAATGGCAACAAAACTGAGGCTTTGCTTATTGGCACTCGATCTGTTTTGTCTAGATCTTATTGTGAGAAGTGACATTGCAAAGCTCTTTCTTTGTACATTGACAATACTGTAATCTATCCTTCTTCACAGGTTAAAAGTTTGGGTGTCATCATGGATAGCACACTATCCTTTGAAGCTCAAATTAATAATATCATGCGGATTGCATATTTCCACTTGCGTAATATTAACCGACTCCGCCCCTTTCTTTCAAATAATAATACTGCAGTTCTTATTCATGCACTGGTCACTTCACGTATAGACTACTGTGATGCTCTTTTCACAGGTGTTCCCTCCAAATTGCTACATAAGCTTCAGTTAGTTCAGAATTCTGCAGCTCGTGTTCTTTCTAGAACTCCTTATACTGAGCACATTCCTCCAGTTCTTCAGCGATTGCACTGGCTTCCAGTAAAGTATAGAGTTGAATTTAAGATCCTGCTACTTACTTATAAGGCACTTCATAATCTTGCACCCCAACACCTTACACAACTTCTCCATGTTTACACCCCTTCACATGCTCTCAGATCTTCATCTTCAATTTCTCTTGTAGTACCTTGGATTCGACTAAATACCATGGGTGCCAGATCTTTTAGTTATGCTGCCCCCCGCCTATGGAACTCTCTTACCTTGATGTTCGCACAATTTGGGTAAAAATCCGGAGAAGATGACCTGCTCTTTTTGTTTTGTTTTTAAACCTGTTTCTACTGAAAATCATTCTGAACTGCAAACAATTAGTTTTAAGTGTGCTGCACTAAACACAAAACCACTAATGGATTTTTTTAGGGTCATTGTGTATAATAATTTCTATGATGCATTATAATGCTTGTAACTGCTGACATTTAAATATACTTAGAGTGTGCTTAAAAGCAGTGTACTGTTATCAAATACATATGCTGGAGCTTTCCAAAGGAGTTTCTGCAGTTTCATAAAGCACAGACTAATGATTGTATTGAATATTATATAAATAATAATGTTGAAATGATAGCTTAAGATTTCCGCACAAAAAGGGCAGGGTTTTAGTTTTTAACACATGGCTGCTTCTAAAACAAATTACTCAAATCAAATTAGACCAAGCAGACTCCTACCGATGCAGTGTGCATCAATAAATCACTTTCCTGTGGATATAAATTTCCTGCGGTAATATTATTTATTGCGCATCCTTGACAACTTACTCACCTGAGGAAGGGTTGTTATGCTTGTTGCCAAGGGATGGTCATTAAGTGTTACCAAATATAGATTTGTACTTTCCGTTAGATTACATCATGAATCGCTAATAGCAGAGTTTTTGATTGTTTTGTTAACACACTCACTGGAGAGAAAGAAAAAATGCACCAGTTTAGAACTTGTCAATCATTCTCTGTTGGTATTATAAATCCCCTGTTCGTGTTACTGGATTGCATCTTAAATGCCACTCACTAATGAGTTCCTTCCACATCATCCCCTGGTATTTTCTGCTGTTGGGTGTTGAGATGTCAGCAGGAAGGAGTTTACTTTTCAGGCTTTTTTTCCCATCAGCACTTGATAGACAGACAGGCAGCTACATTATTAATCCTTTGGGAAATCGTGGTTTTAGCAGCCAGGCGAGAAGTGACATTGCAAAGCTCAAATGAAAAGAGACGCTGATAATGATGATAGTAATGCAAATAATGAGAGAAGTTATTAGTGTGACAGACTTGTGGGAAAATGCACTGATTGGCATCTTTACATTTTTCACAGTGACGTTTAAAACTGTGTAACTCCATACTCAGACCATGTGGGCTAAAACACAGTTTGGCCACAGCAGGTGGACAGCTTTTCTATGACGTTTGTCTTAGTCTGTTTCACTTTCTCTCAGATAGGTTTTCCATGTTGTTTCTCACTTTGAAGCAAATCATTGATGATGACCTTGGTTGCCAGTGTACCTATCTGATATAATAATACTTTCTCAGCTGTGAATCTAGATAGTCCTGTAGATACACAGTGGATACTAAATGAAAAAAAAAATGGAAATGAAAGTGGAGATGAGGATGATAAGTATAATTGACCTCATAACAGAATTGATTTCTGAATGTGTAAATTTGTATACAAAGTATAATGACAATAACATCATGAACAAACAGACAGTTAAAGTGCATACAAATGGAGAATTTGTTTTTCTCATTATACGGTCCACTTACTTGGTTTTCTAGAGATTTCAGCCACATCTCATCAGCGTACAGATTTTACTTATTTGTCATGGAGATGGTTCAGTTGT